TGCCGCGCAACGTCGACCGGGAGCGCGACGAGGCGCCGCGGGCCGACGAAGCCTTCGGGGGCGTGCGGTCGGTGCTCCGGGCCGCGCGTCGATTCGAGGCGCGGAGCGCGCGCCCCGTGTCCTGCGCGTCGTCGCTCGTCATCTACCCGGGCTTCGAGGCGCTCTTCGACGACGTCGTGGCCATCCTGGACCACGACTGGCGCTTCGGCGGCGAGCTCCGCGAGTTCCTGCCGGAGGTCTTCATCGTGGACCGGTTCCTCCGGCACCCGTGCCGCGCGCCGTTCGCGCCCGGGGCGCCCGGCGAGGCGGCGCGGAGCCGCGGCGCCATCGACGGGCCGCCGCGGCTCTACTTCGTGCCCGTGCCCTGGCGCGCGCTGAGCATCCTCGCCGTCGGCCCGGGCATCGGAGACATGCCGCCCGGCACGGTCCGCGAGTCGCTCTGGGCCCGCGCCGACGCGCTCTTCCGGTCCCAGGTGCTCGCCCACGCCTACTTTGACGCGGACCGGGACCAGCACGTCGTGCTCCACACGTCGACGTCCGCGCCCGTCACGGTCTGGCGCGACCACGCGCCGCTCATGGTCGACCGGCGCGTGCTCCTGCCGCACCTCGAGGGCTTCCTCGGCGACATGCGCAAGGGCGTCGTCGACGTGGGCCCGCGCACGGTCGTCGTGCCCTACTTCGTGGAGCCCAACGGCCTCCTCGACGCCGCGCTCGCGGATGGCGGCCCCGCGCCGCGGTCGCTCGTCTTCCTCCGCGCGTCGGCCCAGAAGGGCGCCAAGGACCGGGCCATCTTGGCCCCGGCGTTCCGGGACGTCCCGGACGCCGATGTCGTCGTCGTCGAGCGCCACGAGGACAAGCAGGCGTACGAGGAGACGCTGCGGACGTACGTCGACACGATGCGCCGCATGCGCAACGCGACGTTCTGCCTCGTCCCCGCGGGCTACACGAGCTCGAGCCGGCGCTTCTACGAGAGCCTCGCCGCGGGCTGCGTGCCCGTGATCCTGAGCCGCCACTTCCCGCTGCCCTTCGGGCCGTCGTCGGGCGCGCGGAGACCCGCGCCGTGGGGCGACGCGGTGCTGCGCTACGCGGCGCACAAGGTCGGGGAGCTGCCCGCGTTCCTGCGCGCCCTGAGCGGCGCGCGCGTCGCGGCGATGCGGCGCGCGGGCGCCGCGGCGCTCGCGCGCGTATCCTACGGCAACGAGGCCGGCGAGGGCGCGACGGCCGCGCTCTTCGACCAGCTCACGCACCTCGTCGCGCCGACGACGAGCCAGCGGCTCCTGCCCCGGGACTGGCCCGCGGCGGGCTCCTACCTCGCGTCCTGCGACGGCGCGGGCCCCGCGTCCTGCGAAGCGGACAAGCGGACGTGCCTCGGCGCGGGCGGCGGCCGCCTCGCGCTCCTCGCGCCCGGCAAGTTCGGCCGCGCCGTCGACGCCGCGACGACGGTCGTCGAGGACGTCGAGCCGCGCGCGCCGCCGGGCCCGCGCCACGCCATCGGCGAGAAGGCGACGGCCCTCGCGGGGAGCCCGCGGAGCCTCATGGGCTTCGCGGCCGCGCTCGCGGAGCTCGACGCCGCGGGCGCGCCCTGGGTCGCCGTCGACGCGTCCGACGCGGGCTGCGACGCGGCGCGGCCGGCGGGGCCCGTCGCCCTCGGCGACCGGCGCCTGCTCCTGCGGCGGGGCCCGGGGTCTTTCGCCGCGTCGCCGCTCGCCGCGGCGTGGGCGGCGCGGTGCCTCCCCGCGGGCCTCGTCGGCGCGGGCTGGCCCGCGGTCGACTTCTCCCTCGTCGTCGGCGCGCCGCGGGCCCTCGAGCGGCTCTTCGCCAAGGCCGCGGTGCTCGCGGGCACCGCGGCCGACGCGGACTGCGGCAAGAAGCCGCCGCGGGACCTCTACCTCGCCGCGGCGGCGGCCGCGCTCAACGCGTCCCACCCCGGCGCCGTCGGCTTTTTGGCCCACGACGATGGCGGTCATCCGCTACACCCCCCTGCTTTGGCAGCGACGCTCGCCGCATCGTCGGCAACGAACGCGACGAACGCGCTCGTCGTCGTCTGCTTCGCCGATCCGGCCATCTCGACGAAGCGCCACAGCGTCGCGTCGCACGTGAAGGGCTGCCAGATCACGGTCGCCTCCTTCCGCCTGGCGAACCCGGCGGATCTGATTTATGTGATCACGCCGCGCGACGACATGGTCGACCCCGTGATTCAGCGCATCGCGGCGAAGGACGCCAGCTGGCGCATCGTCGCCGTCGGCGACGGCCCGTTCGCCACTTCTTCGGGAGGATCCGTGCCGCTCCGGGGGTCGGACGGCCGCTTCTCGGGCAACTGCCTGCGCCACGTCTGGTACGCGTCCGTGCTGCGGTCCATGCCGGACAGCGTCGAGCACGTCATGGTCGCCGACGGCTCCGACGTCTTCTTCCAGCGCGACCCGTTCGACCTGTCGCGCCGCTACGGCGCGGCGGAGCTCCTCTTCTTCGGCGACCGCGGCGACAGGTTCCCCGAGGGCGAGCGCTACTTCCGCCAGCGGCTCAACGAGTGCGCCGACGACGCGCGGAAGGCGCCCGCGCTGCTGGACGCAGTGCAGGACGCGTTCGGCGGCGTCTACGCGAACGGCGGCATCTTCCTCGGCAGCCGACGAGCCGTGCTGAGCCTCGCCGAGGAGGTCGTGCGCTCCGCCGAGGCCTGCGGCTACTGGGAGTCGGACCAGGGGCTCGTCAACTACGCGCGGTACCTCGAGGCGGAGCGGCGGGGCCGCGACAAGGTCGTCTGCTTCCCGGACATGACCCGCTCCGTGTCCATGGGCCACTACGCCTGGCCGTCGCGCAACGCGAACGACGAGCTCACGAACGCGCACACGGGCGAGGTCCTCCACATCGTCCACCAGTACTACACGCGCCAGCACAAGAACAACCTCCAGATCTACTACGCCAAGGTCGCGCCCTGGCTGAGCGCAGTGGGGTAAGATGTGCACCACAACATTTTGGTTTTGGCGTCGGCGCCCCCCCCCTTACTAGCGCGGCGGCGGCGGGGGCGGCCGGTGGGTCGGCCCGCGGGCCGGCGGCGCGTGGAGCGGGAGGCCCGGCACGTGGGGCGGCACGAAGGCCGGCGCGCGCGCGGCGACGCCCGGCGCGGCCCAGACCGCGGCCGGCGCGCGCGGCGCGCCGGCCGGCGCGAGGTGCCAGCGCGGCGGCGGCGGGCCCGGCGCGTTCTCGATGGCCGCGACGGCCTCGTCGTCGAGGCGCTCGAGCTCCGCGAGGTAGTGGCCGAAGTCGTCGGCGCCGTCGCCGTCGCCCGCGAGCGGGAAGACGCGGAGGTAGTTGATGAACTTCGTGCCGTCGCGGCGGTAGTTGACGACGATCATCGACGACGGCAGGCGCAGCTCCACGTCCCGCAATAAATCGTCGACGACGGCCGCGTCCGTCGCCGGGCCCTCGATGAGCCGGAGCGTCGAACCGACGGCCTCCGCCGCCGAGAAGCCGCAGAGCTCGGAGAAGGCCGCGTTGGCCCGCGTGATCACGTGGGGCCGCGCCGACGACGTGATCAAACGCGGCCGCCCGCGGCCCCGGCGCCGCCCGCGCGCCGCGTCGTCGTCGTCGGCGGCCATCGCGCGCTCCGCGGCCGCCAGCGTGTTCGGCACGAGGTCCAGATCCGCGCCGTCGCGCGCGCCCTGGAGCTGGCGCATGACGCCGAGCACGTCGAAGCTCAGGTCCAGCCGCGCCAGCCGCGCGGCGTTGTCGAACTCCGCGCGGAGCATGCCTGGGCGGCGCGAGGGTGCTTCAACGTCGCTTCGACGTGAGCGTGCCGCGCGCGCGCGTGCCGGAAACAGCATCCACGCGTCGAGGCCGTTCCGAGAGATGATCGCTCGTCCAAAAATCAGCCGAAACGAGTGGAAAACGGCCGAGATATCGGAGCCTTTGAAGTCGGGCACGTCGCGCTCTTGTGCCGCCCCGGAGCGTGCCCGCGCACGCGACGTCGCGCCGCGCGCCGCACCTTGCCGCGTTCGTCGTCCGCAGGCTGAAGAGCCCCGCGCAGGCTTTGCCGTCGTGGAGCAGCCGGCCCAGGGGGCCGTCGCCGTCGTCCGCCGCGCAGTCCATCGCGCAGCGCACGAGCGCGTGGCCCCGGCGGCCCCGCGCGCCCACGGACTGGAGGAGCACGGCGAGCGACGCCGTGTCGAAGACCATGCCCCGCACGCCCCGCAGCACGCGCCGCTGGCCCAGGCCCGGGAGCTTCGCGGACGCGTCGTCGTCGACGACGGTCCGCGGGTCGTAGCACCGGTACGGCGTCACGGGCAGCGTCAGCACGAAGTCGGGCGCCAGCAGCTCGCGCCACTTGGCCTCGCAGACCTCGCCCAGGCCCCGGTAGTAGAGCGCGGCCCGGAGGCACCGGCTCCGCGCGTCGCGCGTCCGCCGCTGCATCTCGTCCGCGGAGCTCAAAGCGTCCTCGCGCTTCCGCTTCTCGCCGGCCATGTCGTGGACGGCGCGCTCGAGCTGGGCCACGTAGGCCTTCTTGCGGAGCCGCGTGTTCCGCGCGTACTCGCGGTTCCGGTCGCGCGAGAGCGCGTCCTTCTCGCGCTGCTGCCGCGACTCCTCGTCGTCGTCGTCGTCGTCGACGGTGCGCTCGTCGTCGCGCCGGGGCGCGCCGTCGCCGGCCGGGGGCGACGCGCGCCGCCGGGGGGCGGCCGGCGGCGCCGCCGGCTCCGGGGCCCGCG